GATAGTAAGGTACGATCTTCCATATCTATGTAGTTGCATATTGCAGAGTTGGTCCCGTCTTGTGATTTCATATTCCCTTGAGATCTCAAGTTTCTGGGGCTTATTTTGCTGCTTTAAATTTTCTACTTTGGGGGGCTCCATGGTGGCACAGGGGATTAAATGCAGCACTGTGAAGCTGTCTGCAGCCTCTGCAGCGTGAGTTCGATCCCCAGCCTGCCAGGGAGCAAGCCACATAGTGCAGCAGACCTCTCCTGGCTTGCCCTCTGTTCCCCTCAGCAGTGTACTTCAGTCTATCTGCCTGTTCTGTTCCCCACTCTGTCTCGGGTGAATCCTCTCACCTGCCCCTCCACCCCATTTCTGGCTTGTACCCAGGTCTTGTATGCATAAATAAATAAATCTTTAAAAAAATTCTTATTTTTGAAAAAATGTGTCTGTAGTGGTAACTCAGAGAGTTGAACTACTTCTAACTTTTCCTCAGTGACCCTGTTGTGTTGTTAGATTTGTAAGTTATGTAGGACTAGAGACCTTATCCTTGAGATACTGAGTCAGAGACTGCAGGGTCTGCAGTCATCCAGCCTCTGGGGTGGGTGCTCTGGCTGGGGTGTGTGAGCTCATGTTTGTGGCACCCCTGACACCTGCCTCCCTCAGTTCAGCCCTGAAACTCTGCCCTGTGCACACTGTCCCTGAGCTTCAGGAGGGTGGGGCCAGTCCTGAGGGGGAGTGGGGGTGCATCCAGCTCTGTGTCTTGTTTCTTTAGTGGGGACTTTGTTAGCTGAAAGTGCCCAGTCAGAGCTGTGAGTCCTCACTGTCAGCTCTCCCTGCCCAGGGTCATGTTCCTGGTTGAGTGACAGCCCCACAGTGTGTGCTGCAGCCTCCCCCACCCTGACCACAGCCTCCAGGTGTCTTCTCTGCCTAACTCTTGGTCAGTAAAGCATGACTCTGCTCTGTGCCCCCTTTAGCACTGTCTGCCTGGTGACTGCTGTATAAGAGTGTCCCTTTTTGTCCCAACCCTGGTGTTCTCTGGGTGCCCTGTTCATTTATTCACATTGATGATCCTCTGTGCAATGAAACAAATTTCCTCAGACACCATCTTAGTCCCCAAAGAATTCTTTTGAAATGCACATTCTTGGGCACATCCCAATTGGCTGCATCACACCTGGGGTAGGGTCCCTTTACAGTTACAAGCCCTCCGTGAGATTGAGATGCTCAAGGTGAGAACCATGGAGTTAGAGTTTTTTTATGGAAGGTCCTGCTATCAGGTACACTCGTGAATGAGGAAGCATCTTTGACATAATTTCTGGACCATAAATAGTGATCGGAAGATCTTTCCAAGTTTCAGAATTGTCACTGTTAATCCTTCATGTCAGCTGTCTGCTCATCAGACACCCTCCCTCAGCCTGCCTGGGCCTCCCCCAGTGATGGTGTGTGTTCCCCGATATGACTGTGTCTCTCAGCCTTTCTAACTCCCATGTCTGCGTTCACAGAGAGGTTCCATGTGCTTGGCCCCCCAGAAGCCATATTGGCAGAGCTGGGCAAGGACGCCACACTGCCCTGCTTCTTGTACCCAGTCATGAGTGCAGAGAACATGGAGTTGAGGTGGTTCCGGTCCAGTAGCCTGGAGTCAGTGTTCATCTATCAAGACCGACAGGAACGACACGAGGAGCTGATGGCCCAGTACGCAGGGAGGACCTCGCTGGTGGGGGAATTCCTCCATGAGGGGAAGGCTGCTGTGCGCATCTACAAGGTCCAGGCTGCTGACAACGGGCTGTACACCTGCTTCTTCAGCAACGGAGTCTTCCATGGGCGAGCCAGCTTGGAGCTGCAGGTGGCAGGTTGGTCACATGTTGAATATCTCAAGAATCCTGGAGTTTTGGAATTGGGGGGGAAATAAGGGCAATGCAATTTAGTTTTTCATTTCATTTATGAGTAAGAAAAGGCTTATTAATTCATGTTTTATGAAGTGTTAATATATAGGGTACCTACCACATGTCTGGCCCTGTTCTAAACTCTTGGATACAAAAGCAAATCTAATAAAGTTCTTCACTCTGTGAGTGTATATTTGTAGTGGGAGATAGAGCAATCGTGATAAATAACCAGGGCATAAATGACTTTTGGAAGTGAGAAGGGATGAGGACAGGAAGCTAAATGGAGCAGGGAGATGGGTTAGCAATGTGGGGCTGGGGCTGAGGGGAGCTTACAGTAATAAATAGTAGCTCAGGCTGGGGCCATGGGAGCAAAGACTCCAGGGAAGTGGAAATACAGCTGAGTAGATATCTGATGTGTGGGTGTTCCTTTCTCCCCAGTTTCATAGACAGATAATTAATAGGTATCTTATGTAATGTGAGGCATACACCATAATGACTGATTTATATATACAGTGAAATGATTGCCACAATAGGTTAAATCACATCTGTCTGCTATTATAGGTTTAATAAAAAAGAAAGAAAAAGAAGCAAAAAGGAGAAAACTTCTTCATTGTGAAAATATTTCTTTGGAGTTTGTCCTTTAACAACGTCCCTACATATCACATAGCAATGTTGGTTACAGGCATGTTGGACATTACAGGGAAGGGAATTTCAATGTGGAGGCACAGACCGTGTGAATGACCTGGGGGGAGCGTGTGTTTGGTGTGTGATCTGCTCACATGCAGTCCTCATGGCTGGTGGGAGAGTGAGGAGCAGGGTGTTGTGAGGTGACAAGACTGTCATGAAAAGATGTTGTGAGTACATGGCGGAGAGGTCGAGGGTGGCTGATGAATGCTCCCAAAGGTAATCATAAAAACCTCCATATGATGTAGTTATTTGAGCTGGGACGTCATTTTATCTAACAAATTCTATAAAGCCCCTCAGACCAGATGAGGAAAGGACGATGGAGTCCCCATGGCCTGGTGATTGTGGACAACAGCAGTTAGATTCTTTAGTTTGGGGTACTGGGCCTTGAGGGCATAGGTGAGCACTGCAGAGAGAAGAGGGTTGGGGGAGGAGTCAGTCACAGATGAGGAGTCCTGGTGTGCATAATGTGGTGTTTGTATGTGGAGATGTTGAAGATTTTCAGCACAACTGTGCTTAGCATGTGACTCTGGCAGGAGTGGGGAGGACAAGGGCGGGGACAGTATCTGGAATTGTGGCTGCAGTTACAGGGTGGAGAGGGGGGCTGGTTCACACAGTGGCTGTGGATGCATAGGAGGTGCCATCAGGGAGGTTTAGAAATAACCCAATTGAATGAGGAGAATTGGGTCACAGAATTTAAAGTGGAAGAAGGGATTGCAGAGGCTTCCGAGGCTTTGTAGAGACTATTTGATATTTAATGTCAGGAGCATTAATAATGTGTATCAGTTACCTGTCACCATAGTGCTGCTGCGTAACAAAGAACCACAGAAAAAAATCTCTTAGTGACCTGTAGTAATGGACTTGTACTCACATGGGCTGGTGGGGACTTCAGCTAACCTGGCATGGACTTGACTACTCTCCACTGAACTTACTCCTACATTATTTGGTCGGATGAAAGGTCACCAGGTGAGTCGTGGCTGGGCTTGTTACATGAATGGTCACTGGCTCCAGCTGAGGGAGGGCAGCTGCATGGGGAAAGGCTGGTGACAGGCCCTGCTCTGTGAGCTCATCCTCCAGCACCTGGACTGCGATGTCCTTCCATGGAGCTGGCAGAGGGAAGACCCATGGGGCCAGCACTTTAAACCTCTGCTGAGTCACATGAGCTGATCTCTCATTAGACACATGAAGTCACATGACTGAACCAAAAGTCAGAGTGTGAGTAAAATGTATGTTGTAGAGTGTGAGCTGAATATGAATAAACATGAAGACTTATGGATATTTTTATAACCATTTGCCACAGATGAGGCAAAACCATGAGTTCAGGTATAGAATTTCGGGTGTGAAGAGCATGTGAGGAATCCTGGCAGATGTAACCCACAGAGATGGGGCTATCCGGAGGGAGGTGGGAAGGCTGGCGAGGTGATATCTGGAAGTGATGTATGAGGAGACACAGAAGTTGAGGGAGAAGAAGCCCTGGGAGAGGCTGTGAGATAAGACGGGGCTTCAGGGACTGAACTCTGGGACTGTGCTGCCTTCAAGGAGCAGGTGCAGGGAGAAAAGTCAGGAAAGGTGCTCAGAATGGGGCCAAGTTCCAATAAGCCACCCTCAGAGGGAAGTGACCAACCCAAAATGGAGGTGGTTTCAAGATCAGTCAGGAGTGCCCTGAATGAAGGGACACTGGCGGAGAGGACCTTGGAGACTGGGGTTGACCAATGGGAGACTTTTGTTGCATCACCCAGAACAGAATGGACTAGAAGGAGAAGCTGCACTATGGAGGCTGAGATATTGGTGAGAAATGAGAAAATACAGCTGTTTTTTAATTATAAGGTGTGCTCTTCTAACAAGAAACTCTGCAAAGATTTAAACATGTTTATATAATTATAAAAATAACAGGTAGAAAGGTAGAGATGAACATGTCATGTCATCATCTTGCTCCCCCAGGGGTGGTCTCCTCCAGACCCCCCAGAATGCACCTTGACAGCCTCCCTGGAGGTGTGCACAGGTGGGCCCTGCCCCACTTGACTCTCATCTTCCCTCCACAGGTGTGGGCTCTGTCCCCCAAGTGCACATCTCGGGGCCAGAGGAGGATGGGGTGCAGGTGGTGTGCACAGCCTCGGGCTGGTTCCCGGAGCCCCAGGTGCAGTGGAGAGACCCCCGTGGGGAGCAGTTCCTGGAGTTCTCCAAGGTCCAGGCCCAAGACACTGAGGGGCTATTTAGCGTAGCGGCCGCTCTGGTGGTGAGAGACAGCTCTGCGGGGAGCGTGACCTGCTCCATCCTTAACCCCATCCTGGGCCAGGAGAAGGCCATGGCCCTTGTCATCCCAGGTCAGCGCTGCTCTCCCCTCCCTACTCCCTGCAGGGTCAGAGGGAGGGGCCAGCATCCTCAGGTGAGCTGGGCTGGCCTGGCCTGGGCTGTGTCTTGATGGGATGTCTGTGGGGTCTCTGTCTGCAGAGCCCTTCTTCCCCCGGGCCTCTCCCTGGAAGCCGGCTTTCCTGGTGATCCTGCCCCTGCTGCTGTTCCTGCTCCTGGGGGCTGCCTGCTACACCTGGATAGAACATTCCATACTGATGTGGGAGCTGCAGGAACAGGGGGACCTGGGCCAGGCTAAGGAGGAGGACAGACAGACCAAGGAGGAGGCCCTGAAGGACACAGGTAAGGCAGGGAAGGGCCAGGCTGGTGAGTGTGGCAGTGGGTGCTGAGAGGGACAAGCTGACACCAGAGCCAGAGCCCAGGGTCCCTCTGCAGCAAGATCAGAGCAGGTGCTGGCCCCAGAGGGGACAGTGGAGCTTGGAGGCTCATGTTGGTCTGAAGGTGGAACTTCTAAGACTCAGAATGATTCATTTTTGTGTCTTCTCTGGGCACAAACTTTGTTCTTAGGGACAGTTTATTCTTATATTTTTAATTCTCTTTCAGGTGAACTTCAGGCAATTCTAGGTAAGCTCTGCTCTCCCTCCTGCACTCTCTGTGTCCCCTTTATTAGTGACATTCTGGTTCTTAGCTCACCTGTTTCCTGTGTTGTCTTTCAGACCAGAGGAAGGCAGCTTACCTGGCTGGTGAGTGATGCTCCAGGGGTCCTGGGTCCCTGTCCCCTGTGCTCAGGGGTCCCTCCCCTTGGCTGTCTCAGCACAGACATGTGGACCATTCCCTGCGGTGGAAGTGGGAGCTGGTACAAGGCAGGACCCTGCTGCATGGGCTCTCAGGATTTGGGTGCTGCTTTCCCCCCATTCTTGGGGTCCTGGTGAGGTGGTAACCCTTGGAGTCTCCTGCATCCTGGTCTCATTCCAACCCTGACTTTCCCACCATGGTGCTGGCTTTTTAGTCCTCACTGTATCTCGTTTTTGGTCAGCACCTGGAAGTAAAGCCAGCGGCTCTGGGATTTGATAAGTAAATGGACTCTTGGAGTTTAGGAGTGTGACCACCTCCTGCCCTTTTCCCCCAAACAACGCCAAAGAAAGTCTGTTCTTTTTGCTCCTGAAGATGCTGATCAGTAGTGCTGGGAGAGGATGGGGTGACCTTGCATGGGAGGGAGTCAGGGGACTTTCCCTCTCCCAGAGAGTGTTTAGCACTAGAAATACTGCATTGGAGAAAGATGGGCAATTTCTACTCTGGAGCTGGTGTGATGTCCATGTTGTGTTTTTATTTCATCTTCACATTAATTTCCAAGGAAATACTGAATGTAATAATTATGGAATAATATCTCCATTAAAAAATATCTTCCCATGTACTGTTTTTGTTCCCGTGTAGCAACACTGAGTAGCAGATGAAGCAGGAGCTTTGAAGTCATTGAGGCCCAGAGCCGCTCAGTGACTTGCCAAAGCCCCACAGCAGCAGCAGGCAGGGCTGGGTCAGTCTGTCCTGCAGGCTCCTGACCTGAGCCAGGGAATTTCCCACCCCCCCTGTTGTCTGCACAGGGCAGGAGGTCGTGACCTCTCCAGCCTCTCCCCTCCACCCCTAAGAGAGTCTCACCTGCAGATCAGGGGGCGACCAAGGGCCTTGGATCACATGAGCAGCTGGTTTTGCTGAGGTCTCACCTGTGTGTTCCCTTTCAGCCTGGAGGAAGGCCCAGCTGTATGCAGGTGAGTGGCCCTGAGGGCCTTGGGACCCCTTCCAGCCTCCCCTCTGCCCCTTCTCTATCAGGGACCCCCACCAGTAAGGACCTGGGGTCCCTGGTCTTCCTTCACACTGGAGCCTCCATCTGAGAACTGCAGGGCCCCCCTTGTGAGAACAGACATGCCTCCACATGCCCTGTCCTCCCTGCAATTCATGTGGGGTCAGGACACCCTATGACCCCTTGTCACCTGGTCCTTTCTTATGGGTGAGGACGATGGGGGTCAGTGTGAGGAGAGGCTGCAGCAAGGATAGGTGTGTGGTTCAGGATTTTACTGATCTCTCGAAAATTCCAGACATCCTACTTCTTGCTTCGGAGTTAGGTCTTCCTAAGGGGTCCTGGGTTATGGATCCTTCTGGATTCAATATTCCAGTCCTATTTTGGATCTAGTATTTATTTCCTGTTTCCTCTTAATTCTTTTTTTTTTTTTTTTTTTTTTTTTTTTTTTTATAGAGGCATGCTTTATTTATTTGTTTGCTGGTTTGTTTGTTTTGTTTATACATGCACTGGGTACAGTCAGAAGCGCGGGAGGGTGAGAGAATTCACCAGAGCCAGAGCGGGGAGCAGAGCAGGCAGAAGGACCGAAGCACACTGCTGAGGGGAGCAGCGGGCGGCAGGAGAAGTCTGCACGCCATGTGGGACCCTCCTCCGGTGGCCGGGGAGCAGCCGGGGATCGAACCGGTGCCGCAGAGGCCGCGGGCAGCTTCGCAACCCAGCGCTCAACCGCTGCGCCACCGGGGAGGCCCCTGTTTCCTCTTAATTCTATGTCTTCTTATACATGCTCTGATTCATGTCCAAGCTGTCTTTTCCTTCTAATTCCTTGGGGGTGCTGAGGAATCAGTTATTTAGGGAAGATGTTCTGAATCTGGGTCAGAGCTTCCGGGTGTTTATGACTCCTGGGCAGAGGCCTATGAAAGTTCTGAAATTGCTGTAAAATCCAGTTTGTGTGTATGTGTGTACTTTTTGTGTCTTTGTAACAAGATAAGCAATGTATGATTTTCAGAACCATCATTTTTTTAACTAATAAATTTTATTTTTATATTCCCCATATAATTGCAGCCCATTATTTTGACCCCAATCCCTCCCCTCCCCGCCCCCCACCCCCCCTAGAATGTCTCTGGTTCATAGATTTTTGTTGATTTTGATTTTCACTTTCTTATAGTTATTCATTTTCCTGGTCCCTTATTTAAGTTTTCAAGATTCCTGGTATGAGTGAGACCATCTGGTATTTTTCTTTTTCTTTCTGGCTTATTTCGCTGAGCATGATCCCTTCCAGTGCCATCCATACTGCTGCAAATTGCATGTGTTTATCTTTTTTGAATGCTGAGTAATATTCCATGGTTTTTATGTACCACATCTTCTTGATCCAGTCATCTATTTTTGGGCATTAGTGTTGTTTCCAAAGCTTAGCTATTGTAAACAGTGCTGCTATAAACATAGGGGTGCAGGTGTTCTTTGGAATTGATGTTTCTGTGTCCTTTGGGTAAATACCTAGGAGTGGAATTGCTGGATCATATGGAAGCTCTATGTTTAGTAGGTGCAGAAATGTCCACAAAGCTCTCATAGTGGTTGGACCAGTTTGCACTCCCACCAACAGTGCAGGAGACTTCCTTTTTCTCCACAACCTCGCCAATATTTATTGTTGCTAGTTTTTTTAATATGTGCCATTCTCACTGGTGTAAGATAGTATCTCATGGTAGTTTTGGTTTGCATTTCCCTGATTACAAGTAATGTTGAACATTTTTTTCATAGGCCTGTTGGCCATTTGCATTTCGTCTTCAGAGAAGTTTCTTTTTAGCTCTTCTGCCCATTTTTTGAGAGGATTATTTTCTTTGTTGTTGTTGAGTCTCATCAGCTCTTTGCAGATTTTTGTGATCAGTCCTTTATCATTAGTGTTGTGTGCAAAGATGTTCTCCCAGTCGGTGGGGTTTCTCTTTGTTTTTGTTATTGTCTCTTTTGCTGTGCAGAAGCTCTTTATTTTTTTTTTTTTTTTTTTAAAGGTTTATTTATTTATTTATACAAGCACTGGGTACAGTCAGAAGTGCGGGAGGGTGAGAGAATTCACCAGAGCCAGAGCGTGGAGCAGAGCAGGCAGAAGGACCGAAGTACACTGCTGAGGGGAGCAGCGGGCAGCAGGAGAGGTCTGTGCGCCATGTGGGACCCTCCTCCGGTGGCCGGGGAGCAGCCGGGGATCGAACTGGCACTGCAGAGGCTGCGAGCAGCTTGCAGAAGCTCTTTAATTTGATGTAGTCCCAGCTGTTTATCTTTTCCTTCATTATCACTGCTTTGGGTGATGTGTCTGTAAAGATGTCTTTGATGTGCACATCACATAGTGTTTCGCCTATGTTTCCTTCTATGTATTTTATGGTTTCAGGTATTATGTCTAGTTCTTTAATCCATTTTGAGTTGATTTTTGTGTATGGTGTGAGGTAGTAGTCAAGCTTCATTCTTTTGCATGTAGCGACCCAGTTTTCCCAGCACCATTTATTTAACAAATTCTCTTTGCTCCAATGCATAGTCTTTTCTCCTTTGTCTAAGATTAGTTGACCATAAATTTGTGAGTTTATTTCTGGATTTTCTATTCGATTCCATTGGTCTGTGTGTCTGTTCTTTTCCAATACCATGCAGTTTTGATGATTATGGCTTTGTAGTATAGTTTGAAGTCTGGGCGTGTAATGCCTCCATTCCCTTCTTTTTTTTTTCAGGAGAGCTTTGGCTATTCGGGGTTTTTGGTGATTCCATATGAATTTCATCAATAATTGTTCTATTTCTTTGAAGAATGACATTGAAATTTTGATTGGAATAGCATTGAATCTGTAGATTGCTTTTGGTAGGATGGCCATTTTAATAATGTTTATTCTTCCAATCCATGAGCAAGGGATCTCTTTCCATTTCTTTGTGTCTTCTTCTATTTCTTTTAACAGTGTTTTATAGTTTTCTTTGTATAGGTCCTTTACCTCTTTTGTTAGATTTATTCCCAAATATTTGATTTTTTTTTATTTCAATAATAAAAGGGATTTTTTTTTTATTTCTTCTTCTTCAGATTTATTGTTTGTGTATAGGAAGGCTACTGAATTTTGCGTGCTGATTTTGTATCCTGCCACTTTACTGAACTGATCGATAAGTTGAATTAGTTTTTCTGTAGAGTTTTTGGGTTTCTCTATGTATATTATCATATCATCTGCAAATAGTGATAATTTGACTTCTTTTTCTATTTGGATTCCTTGTATGTATTTCTCTTGTCTTATTGCTCTGGCTAGGACTTCCAGTATTATATTGAAGAGCAGTGGTGAGAGTGGACATCCTTGTCTTGTTCCAGATCTTAATGGAAATGCTTTCAGCTTTTCCCCACTGAGAATGATGCTGGCTGTTGGCTTGTCATAGATGGCCTTTATGATGTTGAGGTATGTTCCTTGTATCCAAGAATTTCAAGGGCTTTTATCATGAATGGGTGTTGCACTTTGTTGAAAGCTTTCTCAGCATCGATTGATATTATCATATGGTTTTTATATTTCTTTTTGTTGATGTGTTGGATAATGTTGATTGATTTTTGGATGTTGAACCATCCTTGTGTCCCTGGAATGATCTTTTGGATTGTTTTTTTAGTTTCTATTTCATTTATTTCTGTTTTGGTTTTTATTATTTCTTTTCTTCTACTGGTTTTGGGTTTTTTTTGTTGTTCTTTTTCTAGTTCGTTGAGCTTCGAGATTAGGTTGTTTCTTTGAGTTATTTCTTGTTTCTTGATGTGAGCCTCTATTGCTATATATTTTCCTCTTATTACTGCCTTTGCTGCATCCCATACATTTAGGAAATTGGTGTCCTCCTTGTCATTCAATTCAGAGAATTTTTAAATTTCTTCTTTGATCTCCTCATTAGTCCACTGGTCTTCCAGTAGTGTGGTTTCAATCTCCATGAGGTAGGAGAGTTCCTTGCCTTCTTTTTATGTTTTATTTCTAGTTTGATGCCTTCATGGTCAGAAAAGATGATTGGTATGATTTCAATCTTGGTGTATCTGTTGATGTTTGTCTTGTGGCCCAGTATGTGATCGATCCTGGAAAATGATCCGTGTGCGCTTGAGAAAAATATGTACTTAGTTTTTTTTTTTTTTGGGGGGGGGGTTTAGTGTTCTATAGATGTTTGTTAAGCCCAAGCACTCTAGATCCTTATTTATAGCTTTAGTGTCTTTACTTATTTTTTGTCTCTTTGGTCTATCAACAAGTTAAATGTCCCTGTTCTAAAATGGTGATGCGGGACGCACTCCCTGCGCCCCAGTCTGCCCCGGGGTGGGTTCCCACTCCCCCTCTGGGCTTGGACTGCAGGCTAGAAGGGGCCTGGCATGGGCGAACTTCCCAGCTCATCTCTGGCTCCTCCAGGAGCCTTCTGCCAGTTTCGAGCAGTCTTTACTGAAGAAATCAGAACCATCATTTTTTAAGGAGAATTCTGTCTGACAGTCTCATGGTTGCTATTATTTAGTTTTTTTTTTTTTTAAAGAGGCAACTATGTAGACTGGAAAAGAACAAACCTAAAATGGTTATAATCCATTTCCAAAGAACAGGGGTGAAATTTGAAAGAAAAGTCTGGATGGAGATAGAGGGGAAGGAAGGAGAGGGGTGTGTGGGAGAAGAGCCTTCTAGAGGTTTTGGGCACAGTCACCAGTTTGAATCTGTGCTGTGCAGATGCCGTGCAAGGCTTGGGGATAAAACACAGTGGGCCTTTTGAAGTACTTCAGATAAAGTTACTCTTTGAAAACCATTATTGAGGCAACCATATAATTGTGTTCCCTCTCACATGAGCTCCCCAAGTAACCCCAGAGCAGGGTCTGCACTGGGTCCTGCATGGGAGATCAGAGATGCTGGTGAAGGGAGATCTGAGCCTCCTGAGCCTGAGTCACACGCCCTTTCCCTGCTCAGGGGTTTGTTCATGGTCCTGGACACAGACCCTGAGCCACAGAGAAGGGGGTTATAAGGGAGGGGCCTGGGGACCAGGAGTGTGAGGACCCTCCCGAGAGTCCCCCTGGTTCCCCTGGGACTCATTTCCACACAGTGAGGATCATAGAGTTGTCTTTACCATCATTCCAACCTCTGCTGAGTTCATGTCTCATGCATTTTAACATAAACTTTTCTTTGGCATGCAAAAAGAATGATGTGTTTGAATGAAACACAATGAATACACTAGAATCAACATTTTGATATTGACAGATTCACGGATGGATACATGTGTGATCTCGTATTATTTGTGAAATTTAACAAAACTTTTTTACTTAAGGTTTTACTACAAAAATTAACTGACTAGCGCAGTCAGTGCACACACAGTCCTGGGCACGCTGTGTCTCACATTAAATGTCACTGGATTTTCTACATTTGTTCCTGCTGCTCCTGTTCCTGTTCTCCTCCACGCCCTCTTTTTTTATTGTTGTATGAAGGAGTATGGTGTAGAGCATTATAGCAGATGTCAACTAATGTCTCAGGAAAAACAAGAAAATTTAAAATCTCCTTTTTTCACAAAGAGGTCACATATATGCCACCTAATCATTGCAAGCAAAGATGGAAATGCCAGTTTCTCTGAGTGAGCTTGTGCAGGTGTGGCTGGTGTCACACATTTACACACCATGTGCACAAGAAATGTTGTTCCTTATTCCTATAAATGTGGATCCTGGATTCTCCTCTCTCTCCTTCTCTCCTCACACAGTTGGGAAACTCATGCTCTTCCCTGAAGGCCTCAGAGTCTTGCTGTGTCTGACCTGAGTGTTGGGGAATGACCTGCTTCCTCCTTCCCAGACAGGTGTGGGGTGGGAGATGACATGGACTTGGGGATCTGGGGGAGAGGGGCCTGTGCTCCCCTTTCAGTCATTTCAGGGGCTCCCCCGGGGCCACTGGTCTAAAGAGGCTGTGCGGCACACGCTGAGGTGGGTAGGGCTCATCCTGTCTGGTCATTAGGTCTTGTGGGTGACCCTCCCTCCACAGCAGAGTCAGGTTCTGTGTCTATCTTTGGTCAGCAAATTGATCAACCTTCTCGTTCCTTCCTCCTGTCCCACATCCTTGAATTCCTCTCCTCACCTGTCCTTCCTCCCTCCCTGCTCTCCAGGCCCCTCTCTCTCCCTCCATCTCCCCCAGAGCATGTGACTTCTGGGTCCCCATCTCTCCATGTGCATCATGGGGTCCTGGTGCTCCCTCCAGACCCTCCCCTGCCAGGGCCCTACTCACCTGCCTGGGCCCCCACATGGGGCATCAGAGCTCCAGCTGCTGCTGACACAGGTCACCACACCCTGAGCAGTGTCACCCACACAGTTTATCATCTCACATGCCTGACGGGCAGACATCTGAGACCGTGTCTTGGGAGTGACTCCAGGGTCTGGCAGCTCCTTCCTGCCAGGACCCCCTTCCTCTCCCAGGATCTAGGGCCCCCTGCACTGACTGAGATCCCTTCCTCTGTCTACACAGCCTGCCTTGCGACTATCTCTAAGCACAGGTGCAGGGTCATGGCTGTTAAGGTTCATGTGATTGGTTCCCCCTGATGATCCATAGTAACATCCCTGTTTCCAGGTCCTGTCTCTGTTCCACCTGCAGATTTCTCTTTCCTCTGTCAAGGACACATTTTACAGGGCCATCGGATGAGGATACGGACATCATTGAAGTCATTATTCAACTTATACAGAGAGGTCTTACTATGAAGCTTCCATCTTTCTGGGCTCCTCTTGAAGGAAACAGTTGTGTCAATCCAATGTGTTTGTGTTCTTCTCTGTCTACAGGGATGGTTTTGTTTCTACCACACATGAAAATGTGGAAAGTTGTCACTAGTGTTTGATCCTCTCAGTGTGTGTCCATGTTCCCTACTCTGCATGTCTCTTTCCTCCTAGAACCCTCTCCACCCCCTCCTGAGTGGGCAGGACCCTGTATTGAGTGTCCTTTGTCTCCTCACTCATGTCACAGTCACCCCCACGTGCAGCTCAGTCATGTTGTTTCATTCTCTCTCTCTGCCTGTCTCTCTCCCCTTGTTTGACAAACAGATTTATTCACAATGAGAGAGGAAAGCTCTGCCCACCAGCCCCCACATCTCCAGGCTTCTGCAGGCCTTTGCTGCCCCAGGAGGCAGGAGCATCAGGCCACACACAGGCCTGGGCTGGTTGTAGCTCTAAGCCCCGTGGCTCAGAGAAAAGCTGCACATCCAGGTCTGTTAGTTCTTCACAAGCACATGCAGTGCTGGGCATTTCATCTCCATAGAACCTGTTCAAGAAAACCTGGTTCCCAGGATATGTCTTGGCTGGTGACCTGAAAGTATAATTTGATTGTCGTATCTGGCTAAAGACCTTTCCGTTGCGTTGGTGTTCAGCATGTCACCCCTGAGTATTAAGCTTTATGTCTTAAATCATGGGAAATTTGCAGCATAAGAACAGTGTGTGTGTTTGTGCATGTGTATGAATCTAAAAGTAAAATGCACCAACTAAATCTTTCCAAATATTTTCCCCTGTGAACTCTCTCACTGTCTTGTAGAAAACAAGGCACAGGCCCTGAAGTGTGAGTATCTAAAGTCCCTCACGTGACATGTATGTCTCTTGCAGATTGGCGGAAGGAGCAGTTCCAGGCCTGTGAGTGACTCTGTTCTCTCTGGGGCTGCTCAGCTTCTGGAATTTCCTTCTCTTCTCTGTGTGGACACAGACTCTGGACCTTCCGTGGGGTGGGGTTGGTGCAGCTGTGATGTCACACAGCTGGGCTGGGGGTGACTGCTCATGGGTGCTGAAGGGGCTCCTTAGTCCTTGGGGTCCAGGCGGGTCCCCAGGGGTCCTGTGACATACTTGACCCCCAATAATATTGTGGCTCCTCTTGCTTGGGGGCTGTGGGATGGGGTCACCAGGCTCTCATTTCAGGGAACATATCCCTCTCCCCATAAAGCCGAGTATCGGGTGAGGAGGTGTGTGCCCTTGTTATGTCAGGCTGGCACATGGGTTCTCTCTCTGCAGGGCCTGTCACTCTGGATCCAGGTTCTTGCAGTGATGAAATTGTCCTCTCTCATGACAAGAAGAGTCTGACCTGTCATCACGATGGAAAAGAAGGAGGATGCACTGTTTTGGGTCTTGAGGGCATCACATCAGGGCGCTGTTACTGGGAAGTAGAGGTCAGCAATGTAGACAGAACTGCATGGAGGTTGGGGGTCTGGAGGAAAGATGAGAAAATGAGATACTGTGCTCCATCCCCACTGAAAGGGAAATGGGCTATTGGCCGGTTCAATAACGTTTTCAAAGCCTATACAGACCCTTATACTCTGCTACCCCTTAGGCAGGTTCCCCACAGGGTGGGGGTTTTCCTGGACTATGATCACGGGGACATCTCCTTCTATGACATGACTGATGGCTCCCACATCTTCTCCTTCCCTCCTGAGTCCTTCTTTGGGACTCTCCTTCCATACTTCTGCTGTCATAAAGGAGACTTGTCAATGACACTGTGCCCCCTGGAGGCTGGGCCCCAGAAGCCCTCTGTGCCCATGAATAATCCTCCTCTGGAGGAGACTGTGGGTCCCTCAGGGGAGGGGATCCCCTCAGGCTCTGGTATGGATGGGGCTCCCCCAGGGCCTGAAGCCCCCCTCCTCCCCTGCACCCCTGAGACCGTGTCCCCATGAAGCCCCTCCCTGCCCAGCCCTGCCCTGGGCTCTTCCTGGGGCAGCAGGTTCCCTGTGGACAAACCTGTGAGTGAGTCCCGGATGATGGAGTCTTGTCCTCCTGCTCTGGGTGCAGATTCCTGGGCCCTGGCTGAGAGAACAGTCAGGTCAGGCCTGTGCTGAGACATAACTCTGAACCCGTTCAGGGTATGGTGAATTTTTCTATGGGAAATCATTTGTCATTTGATAAAGAAAATATTTACTAGGGATTTTATGCTGTTAGGACAAGAAAGGGGATGAGCTCTGAATGATTCTCCTACATTAATTGGAGTTTATTTTATCCGACTTGACTTAGTTTGGAGTAAACTAGAGCCTGATGGAGGGTCCCCAGATCTATTTTTAGGGGTCTGGACTATCTGACCAGAAAACTTTGGCCTCCAGAATATTTGGGAAAATGGCTGATGGTGGACATTAGAGGAGCCTAATATTCTGTTATCTGCTTCTTACTCTGGAATGGATGAAATACACTTAATTTTATCAAACCTGATGGACTTCTAATACCAGTGATAAACTTGTGGTGTGTTAATTTGGTGACGTCAGGAGAAGGATCTGGTTCCTCTTTTGTGTCCACACCATTTGGAAAGGAAAGAAGTGCTCCTTGAATTAAGATGAGAATGAAGAAGAGACTTTCATACTCGGGGTGATTCGGGGTGCTGTGACTTGAGCTCCAGGTGTCTCTGTGCCGACTCGGTCCTTCCACATCCTGAGGCAAAGGGTCATGGGAACCACAGCTGCCAGAGGAAGCAGGATCCTGAGCCCCACACCTGCAAGGAGGAAGGTGTGATCCTCCCCAGAGGACACTAATGTGGTTCTGGTGGGAGGAGAAGACAGGAAGGGGGAGTGGGGAGGAGTCAGACATCATAATGGTATGTAATATTTTTAACAATTTCTCTTGTGTGTGTTAATTTGTATTTATTACCCATTTCTTCATTGTCATCTTCCCTTGTGCTTTTATACAAGTTGATGTAGTTTATGTTTATAATATAGTTTTGGAGGGTAACAGAATAGATAAAGGGGATACCCTGGTGGTGCAAGTGCTTACACACAGCACTATGAAGCTTTATGTAGCCACTGCAGCATAACTACTATCCCAAGGCAGGGAGCTACCCACATGGCACAACAGAACTCTCCTGTCTTGTCCGCTGCCCCCCTCAGTAGTGTATTTCTGTTAATCTACCTGTTCTGCTCCCCACTCTGTCTCTGGTGAGTCCTCTCACCCCCCCGCACCTCTGGCCCCAGTTCTTGTATGCATAAATAAATAAATCTTTAAAAACAAACAGAATAAAGATATTGTAAGCAAATTTGAAAAAAAATACCTAATATGGCATGTTAGATAGAAAAATTGGGGCTGTCTGTCCCCTAATTTTTGAAAAAGGTGAGCACTTCTTCACTTGTAAATGAAGTTTTCTCTTGATATTTAAAAATAAGCAGTGTACATAGTGAGTATGGAACTGAGTAAGGACTCTCCCATCACCCATTTATTGCCCTGTCTGTGAGAACAGTAAGGTCAGGCCTTGTGTTGAGGCCACAGATGGTGAAGTTGACAGATTTGAACCAGTTTGGGGGAGGACGAACTTTCCCATGGGAGATCATTTTTCTTTTCATAAAGAAAATATTTCAAGGGATTTTCCTACTGTTTGGACAAGGAAGGGAATGAGCTATGAATTCGTGTCCTAAATTAACCGGAGTTTATCCAACCTGAGCTTGTGCTGAAGAATGCAGGTGCTGAAGAATACCTTATGTTTATGATATAATTTTTGGGTAATAGATAAACAATTGAATTGTGACTGAACTTGAGAAATAAGAAATATAGATACAAAGATTGGTGCTGACTGTTTCGGAGACATGTAAAGGGAGCTTTCTCTTGGTAGTTAAAAACATACAATTGTGTTGTGTAGTTGTTCAATTATGTGTGAATCATATGTGTGGAGCTGAGTAGTCAAATGGGTGGACTCTCCCATCACCCATGTGTTGCTTCCTGGTCCACATCCCCCACGTGCCCTCCTGTGTGACCTGGAGCTGGACCCCAGGACCGTGTCCCTTGGCCCCCTGCACAGTGTCAGGATGAGCCCTGGAGGGGACACTCCAGTCACAGCCGAGGACACGCGTCTCTCCTGGTCATGCTGCTTTTCTTCTGGATCCTGCGATGGGAAGTTTGTCCTTTTTAAGATTTACACTCACATACTATCCATGAAAATTTTCCTTCTATTGTTCTGAAAACTATTAAAAACTGAAAAGTAAGGTATGTGTCATGTCTTTTGATCTAATGGGGCATTACAAAATTAGATTCAGACTTATGGAACTATTTAAAAAATGTACAAGGTTTTGACTTGGGTTTTTGTCAATTAAGGATGTGTTTGCTGTGAAGTCACATGTTGGATGTAAAGCAAAATAGAGATTTCCAAAGACTATAATTTTTTTATCCATAAATATTACCACTTTTGTTCTTTCTTAAAATATTTTATTTTAAGTTGCTTTCATGCTGGAAATAAAGGATCTATTCCTCCAAATCCTCTTTGTAGCATGTTGCAATAATATCAGTGCTGTCACTGATTAATTAATAATATTAATTGTTTATATATTTGTCTGAAAGTCATATTTATGATTTCATAAACATTACAGAAGATTACTTATTTCAAGACAGATTTTTATATAGGAAACTTTGTATTGATTATAGTAGAAAACTTTTATGCTAGTAATTTTAAGGTAAATGCATTAAAAATGCCCCGCTTTGAACACAAAAATGAGAAAGTGAAATCCCAGCTATCACACACTCAGCCCCTCCCCCTGCAGACCTGAGGAGCAGCCTGAGCAGAGGAGGAGACACAAGGCCCCAGACAGGACAGGACAGACGCTGGGTCTAGACTGAAGCTGCTCATCTGACACTCATGGTCCTTCTCACCTCAGGATCTTGTCCACACCCAGCTGAGCCCCAGAGTCCACGTCCCCAGAGTCCTGGGCTGGGCTTGTTCCCTTGTCCTCTGTGAGCTGTTCCCCTTCCTGTGAGCTTTCTCCCTCCTCTCCTCTCTCTCTCTCTGGGCTCAGGGAGAGTCATCTGATGAGGTGAGATTTTCATCCAGAGGGAGAGGATCCCCCAGGTGGGCAGGTCAGGGGGGATTTGGGAGAGTCAGAGTGTTCTCAGGATCCTCTTCCCAACACAGCTTCTGATTCCTCTTGTTAGGGGAAAAAGGATGTCCTAAAGCTAATCCCATACAGGCTTTGTGGACTCCACCCCCACTCCAGACCAAAGCCATCAAGATACTGGGAACTACAAATCCCATCACCACCAAAGTGAAGAGTGGGGTTAAGCAGCCAAGTTTGGTATAAAGGCAGACACATGGGCTTTGGAGGGGATCCCCCATTTTGGCTCCCCACCAGCTTGCAGCGTCCAGCCAGCTCTGAGAGTGCCTTTGGGTTTCCAGGTCTGCGGATCGGGTAGGACGCATTAAAGACTTTATTTCCCTATTTTCTCCCTGAGTTGTACATTTCCTTATTTCCTTTTCCCTTGTAAATAAACCTTTTATTAACCTTTTGTGTGTGCCTGTAGTGGAGTATTCATAAGTCCCTTTTAAGCGTGCGGGTGAGGACCCACAGCCAGGCAACCCGTTTTGTGTTGGGGTTGCTCCATAACACTCTCATGGGGACCCCAATCTTCTCCCAGCTCTGCGGGGATCATGTCCTCACCATGATCTCAGGCAGAGCAGACATGGCTCCCTCAGCTCCTGGGTGCTCCTGCCTTATCTCTCACTCCCATTGGCCCATCTACTTTCTTTTTTTTTTTTTAACTTTTTTTTTATACAAGAACTGGGGTAAAGGTCAGAAGCACAGTTGGGTGAGAGAATTCACCAGAGCCAGATTAGGGAGCAGAACAGGCAGATGGACCAAAGATACTGATACAGTTAACAAGTTTGTCTTTCCCCCATTTCTTGCAATTCCCCTTATCTAGCATTGGCAGGATTGATGGCTTGTCTTTCCCATTTGTTGCAGCTTCCCCTCCCCTTGGGAAGAAAAACAAGCTGGCGCCCACCAGTTTCCCTGCAGACCCTTCCTCCTCGTCCTAAGGAAAACAAGTTGGGGATCACCCATCTCTGTGCCTTGACACCTTCCCCTTCCCTTAAGATGAATGAGCTGACACCCATCCATCTCCCTGTTGAGCTGGCCCCCACTTGTCTCTGTGTGGACCCCTTCTCCCTCCCCTTCTCAGGCCCCTACCCATCTCCCCCTGTGTAAATACCCCTGCCCACGGCCAAAGAGCAGGACGGTGGGCTTTGGGACATGAGTCTGCCGCCCTCCTCATTTGTTGACAAATAAAACCGCTTTCCTTTTCCTCAAACTCAGTTTCCTTTTATTGGCTGAGGGAAACTGAGGCCGGCGTTTGGTAACAATTTTGGCGAGCCAGCCAGGAGCTGGATGCCACCGGGCTCTCCCCATCCCAACTCTGACTTCCAATGGACGGAGCAGTTGGCCGCGGCAGCCGCCAGGGCTCACCCGTCCACGCTGTCTGCGTGGGATTTGGGGCAACCTGGATGACATCCTGCTAGAAGGGGAGACCGTTTCCCTAGGAGGATAAGGGACAGTCCCAGCCGCTGCCGGAGCTTCATTTCCTCCAGGGAATCTCCCATTTCCTCTCTGGTGGGAAAGTGGTCCCCCTTTCTCTACTCTGGAGACTTTTGAGGAGAAGGAAACTGGACTAGGAGACCGCGGCTTTCTGGCTTTTGGGTAAGTTCCCCCGGCGTGCACACCGAGACCTTTGCCTTCACACATTTGGGGGGAATCTGAGCCCCTTGTAGAGGGAGTTCAGTTCCCCAGTTTGGGAGGGAGTCTATGAATCTCCCTCAATTTGGAGCGCTCTTTGGTGTGATAGGCCTGGTTGAGTGGGAATTGGGAAACGTTTGGTGTCTTTATTTTATATTTGTTTGGTATTTGATATTTGGAGTTTCCCATTTGTTATTTCTTTTAAAAAGCCAAAGATTTGAAATTATGGGAGGCGCCATTTCTGTTCCACCTGAAAGCCCATTGGGTAAGATGAATGGTCGACCTAACCTATGATTGGGGTCAGAACGGGGGGGGGGGGGTTGCAATTGTATGGGGAATATAAAAATAAAATTTATTATTTAAAAAAAAATAAACCTATGAAGAAAAGGAAAATGGTGTACTATTGTAATACTGCTTGGCCTATGTATTTGTTAGAATCTGAGGAAAGATGGCCTGTCAATGGATCCTTAAGCTATTATACTATTTCACAATTAGAACTGTTCTGTCAGAGATCAGGGAAATGGGATGAAATTCCATTTGTTCAGGCATTCATGCAATTGCATATGAAAGAAAATAAGGAAGGGGGGGCAACTCTGATGATGCAAAGGAAAACAATTTATCAGGATAGTAAAACTCAGGAAGAAAAAACTGAGGAGGAGTTAAGGGATTTAACCTTAATGAATTCATGCCTCCCACCTTTTGAAGTGTTTCCACCCCCTCCACCACCAATATATCCTCCTTTACCTGAGGATGCCCACACGGCAGGGGGTACCCAACCTGAACCCCCTGACCATGGAACTGGGGCAGATGAGGTCTCCCCTTATAAGACTAGGACAGGAACACAATTTGGCCAGGGAGCCTCTGCAGCCGGAGTAGGGCAATTTCCATTGCGTCAATACCCCATAGGAGGATTGAATAATGAAGGGCAGCAGGCTGGGTTTTATTGGACCTACAGTCCCTTTTCAAATTCAGATCTCTTAAATTGGAAGAGCTCTAACCTGGCCTATAGGGATGACCCACAGAAAATGACTGAACTATTCACCACCATTTTTGCAACCCACCACCCTACATGGGCAGATAAACAGACATTGCTAAGTATTTTGCTAACAGCAGATGAACGCCGGCTGGTAATCAAAAAGCAAAGGAGGAAGCCCAGAATCTCCATAGCGAGGACCCTAACCAGACTCCAGAGCCACTGGCTGCTGTTCCTATGGCAGAACCAGATTGGGATCCAAATACTAATGCAGGTCAAGCTAAAATAAACCACTATCGGAAATGCATCCTGGCAGGCCTGAGAAGAGGCGTACCTAAACAGAAAAGTCTAAACAAAGTCCAGGAAATTCAGCAGAAAGCAAATGAGGATCCTTCTGAATTTCTAGAGCGCATTTATCAGGCATATAGGAAATATACTGATGCTGATCCAGAGGCCCCAGAGAATTCGCGCATGGTTAACATGAATTTCATCGGGCAAAGCGCCCCAGACATTCGTCGTAAACTACAACGCGTAGATGGAGCAATAGGTATGAATTCCTCTCAGCTGGTGGATATTGCATTCAAGATATATAATGCTCGTGAAGAGCAGAGGCAAAAGCCTGTGCACGTTTTGTTTGCCACCACAGCACAACCACGCTCACAGTTTGCAGGGCGAAGAGGGGGAATGAAGGGAAGACCAGGGCTCTTAGACACACAGTGTGCCTATTGCGGGAGGATGGCCACTGGAAAAGAGAATGTCCAAAATTAAGAGGAACTTGGAAAAGCAGAAAGGGAACATTAGACAGACAAATGGTCGCGTATGCTCCTGATTCAGGAGACGATTAGAGGGGCCCGGGACTCCATATGGAAGCGGCAGCTTCTATTCCTATTTCCCCACAAGAGCCCCGGGTAAAACTGACAGTGGGGAACAGATTAATTGATTTTCTGGTGGACACTGGAGCTATTTACTCAGTTCTTAATTCCAAATTGGTTCCACTTAGTGACAAAACCGTAGCGGTGGTTGGAGTTACTGGCCAAGTACAGCAACAGCCTCTCTTACAACCATTGGAGTGTCACATGGGAGAAAAGCGCATGAAACATAGATTTCTCTATATGCCTGACTGCCCAATCCCACTCTTGGGACGAGACCTGTTATGTAAGTTAAATGCTCAAATTTCCTTCTCACCAAAAGAACAACAGCTTCATCTACAAGTACCTTCAGAGAATGCTTTGCACCTTCAAACCTTGCTGATTGGTGAAGAAAAAGATGCAGAACCTATCCCATCAGAAGTCTGCGAAAAAGTGAGTAGCTCCGTATGGGCGGACGGGATTCCAGGACGAGCAATAAATGTAACTCCCATAAAAATTAGACTGAAGGAGAAAGCTTCCTATCCTCATAAAAAACAGCATCCTTTGGGGTCTGGCCCTCGCGGCTACTCCGAGCGCGCCCAGCCCGCCATCTCCGCGGCGCCTCGGCCCGGGAGCGCTGCCGCCGCGGCCCATGGGGAGAGTCAGCCGGGCGGGCCGGCATTAAACTGAAAAGAAGATGTCCCTGTATGACGACCTGGGAGTGGAGACCAGTGACTCCAAAACAGAGGGCTGGTCCAAAAATTTCAAACTTCTGCAATCTCAGCTCCAGGTGAAGAAGGCAGCTCTCACTCAGGCAAAGAGCCAGAGGACAAAACAAAGTACAGTCCTTGCCCCCGTAATCGACCTAAAGAGAGGCGGCTCTTCAGATGACCGGCAGATTGTGGACACCCCGCCACATGTAGCAGCTGGCCTCAAGGATCCTGTTCCCAGTGGGTTTTCTGCAGGAGAAGTTTTGGTTCCCTTAGCTGATGAATATGATCCTATGTTTCCTAATGATTATGAGAAAGTAGTAAAGCGCCAAAGAGAGGAACAACAGAGACAGCGGGAGCTGGAAAGTCAAAAAGAAGTAGAAGAGAGAGAGAGAAGAAGCGTAAAGACAGACATGAAGCTAGCGGGTTTTTAAGGCGACCATATCCAGATTCTGATGAAGATCAAGATTATGAACGAGAGAGGAGAAAAAGAAGTATGGGCGGAGCTGCCATCACACCTCCAACTTCTCTTATAGAGAAAGACAAAGAGTTACCTCGAGATTTTCCTTATGAAGAGGATTCAAGACCTCGTTCACAGTCTTCCAAAGCTGCTATCCCTCCCCCTGTATATGAGGAACCAGACAGACCCAGATCTCCAACCGGGCCGGGCAACTCCTTCCTTGCCAACATGGGTGGCAAGGTTGCACATAAAATCATGCAGAAGTACGGCTTCCGGGAAGGCCAGGGTCTTGGGAAGCATGAGCAAGGACTGAGCATGGCATTATCAGTGGAAAAGACAAGAAAGAGAGGAGGCAAGATTATAGTGGACGATGCCACGGAGAAAGATGCATCCAAGAAGTCAGATTCAAATCCATTAACTGAAATACTTAAGTGTCCTACTAAAGTGGTCCTACTAAGGAACATGGTTGGTGCAGGAGAGGTAGATGAAGACTTGGAAGTTGAAACCAAGGAAGAATGTGAAAAATATGGCAAAGTTGGAAAATGTGTGATATTTGAAATTCCTGGTGCCCCTGATGATGAAGCAGTACGAATATTTTTAGAATTTGAGAGGGTTGAATCGGCAATTAAAGCTGTTGTTGATCTGAATGGGAGGTATTTTGGTGGACGGGTGGTAAAAGCATGTTTCTACAATTTGGATAAATTCAGGGTCTTGGATTTGGTGGAACAAGTTTGATTTTAAGACCTAGAACACGAGTCACCTCCAGTGATCCTTAAATGAACTGCAAGCTGAGCAAAGAAGAAAAATCCAGCCTGCGTGGCTGTTGGGTACAGAGATTCTTGGAAAGACTTCTAAGATATATGTTGATTGATCCCTTTTTTATTTTGTGGTTTTTTAATATAGTATAAAAATCCTTTAAAAAAAAAAAACAGTATCCTTTGAAAAAGGAAGCATTAAAAGGAATCCAACCAATATTGACTCAATTCCTAGACCACGGGCTTATTCGCCCTTGTAGGTCACCATACAACACCCCCATTCTGCCAGTAAAGAAACCTCACTCTGAGGAGTATAGGTTTGTACAAGACTTGAGGGCAGTAAATGAAGTGGTCCAAGATCTTCATCCCACTGTGCCCAACCCTTACACTTTACTAACTGCACTCCCTAGCAACTACGAATGGTTTTCAGTGCTAGACCTGAAAGATGCCTTCTTTTGTATTCCTTTGGAAAGAGAGTCTCAATTAATTTTTGCTTTCAAGTGGCAAGATCCTGAAACTCGAATAATCTCCCAGTATTGTGGACTGTGCTTCCCCAAGGATTCAAGAATTCCCCCACAATTTTTAGTGAATGTTTGGCCAAAGACTTAAAAAACATTCATTTTAATGAAGGTATCCTGTTACAATATGTGGATGATTTACTTGTTGCCAGTCCATCCCAAGAATCATGCCTGGCCAATACAATACTTCTCCTAAATCATCTGGCCCACTGTGGATATAAAGTGTCAAGGCAAAAAGCCCATATTGGAAAACAACAAGTGACTTATCTAGGATTCCAGATTAGCAAAGGAACCCGCAGTTTAATGACTGACCGGAAGCAGGCTATTCTAAATCTAAAAGCCCCCCACAACCGGAGGCAGTTGAGGGGATTCCACGGAATGGCAGGTTTTTGCCGTATCTGGATTCCAAACTTTGGACTCATGGCAAAACCGTTGTATGAAGCTTTAAAAGGAGCCGATACTGAACCCCTAGTGTGGACCACCCAATGTCAACATTCTTTTGAGGAACTAAAACAAAAAATAATGACAGCTCCTGCTTTGGGACTGCCTGACTTGCAAAAGGAGTTTGAGTTATTTGTCCATGAAAAACAAGGAGTTAGTCTCGGTGTACTAATCCAGAGGTTGGGCACGACACCACGCCCAGTAGCTTACCTCTCAAAACAGCTGGAACCCACTGTGAAAGGGTGGCCTCCCTGCCTCCGAGCTGTGGCAGCAACTTGTGACCTATTGCAAGAAGCTGAGAAATTTACACTGGGACAGCCCACAGTAGTACATGTCCCTCACCAAGTACTGACCTTACTAGAGCAAAAAGGAGGTTACTGGCTTACTGCGGGACGGATGGGCAGGTACCAGGCCATCCTTCTGGATAATCCTAATGATACCGGAATTGTCAGGCCTAGTCTCCCAGCCAGGAATGGATTCCAGGCTGCAGGGCAGCGCTGAGCCCCAGCTGCTAGACCCCCCATGGGTTGGTGTCTCAGGAAGCTGCAGCAGGAACTTCGCAGACGCTCAGGCAAGCAAGCGAGAAGCGCAGGTTTGTTTAGAAGAAAAAAGTTTATTGAGGAGAAAAAGAACAGAAATAAAGTGGGACTCCCAGGCCAGGGAACCAGGCCTGGGAGGGGCAAGGAAGCCAAAGTGGAGTCGTGTCTTAGGGAATATATACCTTTTTCCCCTCATTATTCTAAAGCTGCCCCAGTCTCTTTGTGATTGGTTAGTTCTCGGCTGTCTCACTTAATTTGCTACTGAGTGGGGATCTTCATATTCCTTATCTAACAGCTTTCTCTTTCCCCATTTATTGCATCTTTAAATTTATGGCCCAGTCTTCTGGATGGGCATCCCTGCATTGAAGTTAAACAGCTGCCCTGCTAATGTGTCCATAAATTAAACCACTCTCCATTTCTCCAATCTCCGCCTCCCTTTACCACCTGAAGGAAACCAGGACTAGCATTAACAATGTTGTCCTTGGTCCTGGCATGTTTGTTTTTTCTAGTGGGATGGGTTACTTTCCCTTGGTTGTCCTTATCTCTGAAGCCTCCCTAAATTCTTCAGAGGTCCCCTCCTGCACTGTCCCTAAAACTGCCTAATAACCCTAGCTTGCCCTGTCTCATTCCCCCCTTCTACGAATGGAGCCCTAACTGCAGTTAGGGAAAAGGATGTAGGTCTGATCAATGACTGCTTCCTGCTGAAAGTGGGCGACGTGGGGAGACAGTTAGGGCTCCACAGTAGGATGACGATCTAAGGGACCCCGGAAGATGGACTGTGGAGGCGTCATTTTGGGTTTCGTTTGAAGGACCATTTGGAGTTTGATGGCCTCCAGGCGAGCGGAGATGATTCCGAGGAGAGTATTAAGGATGCAGGGCCCAAACAAAAGAACAATAAAGAGAATTAGTAAGGGAACGAGAAAGGCAGTAGCCAGGACAGAAGTTGTCCTTTTATAGAATTAAAGATTGTCTGTGTCCAGCTAAGCCCTTGCCCTGTCTGTTTTTTGAGATCATCCACAATTTGTATATTTTTTTTTAGTGTTTTTAAATTTTCTTCTACCTCATGAGATTTATTTAAAAGCAACATGTTTTGTTTAAGAGGGCACAAACTCCTTTAACTTTAGCCATCGGCAGGTCTAGGGTTCTGCGATTTTATATTACCACTAAGACTAGGGATTTTAAGGAGTAATGTTGGGCTAGTGCCCCAAACACCTGGAGGTGTTTTAGCCAAAATGACAGAATTAGTGAGACCTAGGACTTCAGTACCATTTTATATTTAGTAGCAGCAGCCAGGAGAGCCAATAGTGGCTGTGGAGGCTGCTAGTTTGGAATTTAGTTACAATTTTTTTCATCTTTATAGTTAGGAAAACAAAACTAAAAATGTATAAACAAGTAGCCTTGTAGCCAGCAAGGTAGCAGTGTTGTAAAGTATCCTGGCTCAGGCTGGCCATTTGTACTAGTGAGGGGGACAATTGACCAGTAGGTCAGTCCAAAGAATTGGAGTAAGGCAGAGTAAGTGGCCCCTTATTTACAAAAAAGGTGATTTTTATGTCTGCCACTTTTAGGGTCACCCGAGGCTTGTCCATATAAACAGTAAACAGGGGAGTCTCTCTCACCTCTGGGCTTCTTCAGAGAAGATCTTCTCCTGCACTGGGTTCTTCATAGTCAGAGGCAGCTGACGGTCAAGTTTGTCCTCCCATCCTGGCCCGTGGTTAGGGCTGGCCCCTGGTTAGGGCTGGCCCCTCCCTCTCTGGAGAGTGGGACAGTCCCTTTTTAGTGCCCTGTGTGATGGCACAGAAGGCATGGCCCTGGGGAGAGCTTCTTGCAGCTGAGGTGTCCTGGTTGCAGGCAGTGGAAGCAAGCTGGCAGCCCATTAAGAGGTTGAGGTCCCAAATGCCCTAGGGCACATGGGGCCTTGGGTGAGTCTGAGGTGGCAGGGTACTAACAATGGCAACTGCCATTTACTGGCCCTTCTCTTGCCTTCCTCCCTTTCTTTTTAGTCTAGTTAGTCCCCTCCATATTACTATAGGCCTTGAAGGCCGTGTTCAAAAGTGTTAAAAGGATTTTAGGCCCTTGACTTAGTCTCTGAAGTTTACACCTGATGTCAGAGCAAGGCTGACTAATGAAGGAGACCGAGACTGTTAAATTGTTTGTTCTTTTTAGGGTCTAGATTAGTATACCTTTTTATAGCCTCAGTAAATTTAACCTGAAATGACTGGCTTATTAGGTTTTAAGAAGTTTTATGTATTTTAGAATAATTTTATTTGTGAACATTTATGTTGAAAAGGTGAAAAAATTTTATGAGAATACTTTTTATGAGGTATCAATATACCCAAATTGACTCAGTTTGTTTTCACAACAAGAAACAATTTTATATATTAAAATAACTAAAGCCTGGTGCCACACAGGTGCACAACTGACATTTAAGTTAACCAAAATATTTCATGGCAAGTCACTTGAGAACACAAAAGTTTTCTGTCAAAAATCCCTCACTCTGACCTTTATCATTTTCATTTGCCTTTTTTTTTTCTTTCTTTTAAAACACAAGCACACCTTACTTTACTTGTATCCAGAATTATCACACCTTAGTTTTCAATCTCTGCATTGTAAGGCACCACAATAGCCACCACACCATTATTTCTCTAGACCATATAACCCACAGACACACTTTTTCAAATTTTTTTTTTTGTTGTTGTTGTTGTTGTTGAGATGACATTAAACTTTAGTTTCCTTACAATAAGGAGCAAAATGTAAACCTGAAATTTCAGAGAATGGTTAACAAATTTTATTACTCAACTTAGTAAAAACCTTAGTTTAGCTTTAGTTTTTTTCTTTAGAACTGGAATTTTAAGTCAACTGCAGATTTGCCACTGTAACAATTTTATATACCAAATTTTCTTAGGCAAGCACTAGATAGATTGACAAAAGCAAGAAAAAATTAGACACTTAATACCATAAACATTTTTTAGTAACTTGTCTATATGGCTTTAGATGTTACCTTGAATTCTGTAAAGAAATATAGTCATTTATTGGGAGAATATATTGTTTTTTCCAAGGGGAAAATACAAGTAGATTAGTCTTCCTGAAACAAGATCTTATCAAGAGAAGTTTAGATAAAGCCTAGAAGTAAGTTTGTTAGTATAGGCCAGGTTAATTATTATTTCCTTTGTGTACTCATACAAATGAGTAAACACATTTAAACCACAGTAAAGTATTAATACCATTTCATGGGAGGCAGAGTCTGAGATGGTTATAGCTTTTGGTTCTCAGAACGGTTAATACGTGACATATCAGTAGTTGTAACATTGACTATTTGCAAGTGCATTATTTGTGCTGCCATGGTTATTAGCTCTACCAGTCACAAAATTGCTGTTGACTTATTCTTGAATGCATACTCTAATAGCTACCATACCCATTGTCACCTCCAGAGGAATCAGCCCTAAACAAACAGGAAGAATTTAGCAGGAGCCAGCTATGGAGCCTCCTGGCTTATTAGGAATTTTCTTACACTTGGAGTATAGCTCCCATCTGCCAACCTGCTGCTATCTTTAACTTTATTTTATTTCATTTTTTTAAGATTTATTTATTTATGCATACAAGAGCTGGGGTACAGGCCAGAGATGCAGGGGTGAGAGGATTCACCAGAGACAGAGTGGGG